TACTCGACGTCTCGGTACATGAAGTACCGGTAGCCGAGCATGAGGACTTTCAACTCATGCAAAACACGCAACTCACTTTAACCGATTTGTTTACTGGACGAGCGACCTTGCTGTGACGCGGTCAGTCTCAGCGATTTTGATGACTCTGAAAGAAAATCTCAGGCCTCAGAACTTCAGTGAAAAAACCACGCTTTCACGCAAAACCCCGAAACCAGCACGTAGCTACGACAAAGTATCTCGGATGCGGGTTCTATGCTGGTAAATTCTGAATATAACCACTGCACGGTCGACTCGAAACACGAGGAGACCGGAAAAAAAACGGCAGAGAGCCCTGGTGCTGTCATTACATCTATATATTGCTAAATACATTGTAAATAAAAGACGACATGCATGAGGGAAACACATTACAGTTGTAAAAGGTGCCGCCATGAAAAAACCAACTGGTTACGTAGTGGCGCCGGATTTTAATTTCTTTGTTGTGAAAAATACTACACACAAAGGGGAAAACGACACGAGGGTAAAAATGACAAGGAAAACTTATCCTACCAGCTACAATGTCGGATGCCGTGCAGTGGCAACAACCCAAGCTATAAATCCGGACAGGAAAAAAAAACAGGCGATCCAGCAGAGCATGCTAGATTTCATCTCCACTTGAGGCGGAGAGAAAATAAGAGTGAAGGACGGCTATCTGTGGCACTGCCAGGTGGCCTCGGTCACGTGGGTTCGTGACGTAAGGGGTAAAAGAATCTTGAGGTCATGGGGCTTCCCCTGACCTGGATTCTATCTCTCTGTCACCGGCAGAATCGCTGATTAATGCCTACAGTTCAAAATAGTCATTTTGACTGACCGGAGTCTATGGTGGGTATGAACTTTGACATGCTTGAGTCTGAACTATGACAAGATGGAGTCTGTGAACTTTGACATGCTGGAGTCTCTGAACTATGCAAGATGGAGTCTGTGAACTTTGACATGCTGGAGTCTCTGAGCTATGCAAGATGGAGTCTGAACTTTGATATGATGAAGTCTGTGAACTTTGACATGATGCAGTCTGAATTTTGACATGCTGGAATCTGGATTATGACATCATGAAACTGTGAACTATGACATCATGAAGTCTGTGAACTATGACATGAGAGTTTGAACTTTGACATACCTTTGGTAGATCTATAAATAGATGCTCTGATGACTTGACAACCGGTGAATCACCACACACCTTACATCTAGGAGACTTAAGGAAGATAAAATATGTAAAAGTTAGAATATATATTCCTCTAAAGTTGCATCTATTAGTGAATGAAATAAACTCTGGTTTGACTGAAGTGAAACTTACAAGACTATTTCAAATAATTTATTCACCTTTAGTTCTACTGCATTAATTAATTTCCCACACTTATCACATTGGTCACCGCGAGCATCGGGATAGTTACAAAGAGGACAGATTCCTTCAACAAATCTATCCGCAAGATACCGACTACAGTTCACACAGAGTAACTGCTCTACAGTATCTTTCAATGTATAACCACGATCATAAAGTCTCCAAAAAATGTCCTGCGCAATTCTGTAAAAAAGTAAACAATTGAAACAATTGAAACAATAAACAACACTGCCATTAAAATGCACACAACAATTTAAAGAGCAGTAATCATCATGATGCGTTGTGTTTAATATTGGTTTCATAAAACAAATAAAACACATGTCAAATACTGTTTGATTGAAGTAGTCTTTATCAGGAATTGAGAATTAGGAAGGAGTCTATAAGCAATTGGTAAGTAGACTTTAATATGAATGCAGATTTTGGAGGTTATATTCAAAAAAAATTCATATTAATTAGTAATTATGTTTATCAGGAATTAAAAATTAAGAAAAAGTTTTTATCAGGAATCAGGAATTTGGAACCTACCAGTTTTGTTGTTGTTGTATTGTGGTACTTGTGTTGTTTGTTGTTGTGTTGTGGTTATGTTTTCTCAGCTTGGGGTCCTTTGGCAGAAGGCAAACTGGCTCGCGAGTCTCACCTGTACCAACTGGTCAGTGGGATTCCAAAGCACCGAGACTGCTTCTTCCATCCTCAAAAAAAAAGAGGATGGAGGAAGTCCAGCCTAAGTAACTGAGGCGGTGGTGCGCCCAGTGAAAACAGTCAAAACCGCATTCCGCTGTACAGAGGCAGTCCCTGCCACGAGAGCCAAACGACACTGCAGGATATCCTGCTTAGCTGTGTGGTGTCCCACCAATGGCTGTGTCTGCTGGTCTAGGAAGCTGGTGCGTTCCGCCTTTGAGACTTCAGAGAGCTGGCGGTGCAAAACAATGTGTTCCAGTAGGCTGGCCACAACTCAAAGGTTGAGGGTCGCCACTCTGCTCTCAGTGCATGGATTGTTTCCGAATAAACTGTCAAAATATTCCATGAATGCAGCCACCCAACTTTGCCCGTTCCACCTAACCAAAAATTCAAGGTACCGGGGTCGAGGAGGAACCGAACCTTGGGCGCAAGATTTGACTCCAGATT